CGTGTTTGTTTCAATGAAGAAAGTTTTCTAAATTTTTTAGAATGAAAGTTTTCCAAAATTCTAAAGTTTCTGTATGTTTTCAGCTAAAATTCACGGAAAGTATTGAAAAATGTTTTTCTAGAAAGTTTTAGTAGGTTCCCCTTGAAAGTTTTATGTCTAATTTTCGGGAAAACTCATTTAAATCCTGGATATTCTTTCCCAAAAAGTTTTATATATCTTAAGAGAGTTTTCGGAAAGTTTCCACTTGTTTTACAATTTTTACTGATAAAATTAACAAAGTTTTATAATATATCTTTTATATTCCGTCCTTGACAGTTTCATAACTTTAAAAAATTAGCGAATTTCATCTGTTGTCACTAATATTATCGGGAAAATTCTCGGAAAGTTTTATAAACAGAATATTCCATCAAGAAAGTTTTTAAAACTGGAAAATTTTGGATGTTCCATATAATTTTCAGTTGCGAAGTTCACAAAAGGTTTAAAAAACCGAGTGAACTTTAGAAAATTTAATTATTATCCCTATAATTGTCTGGAAAGTTACTGGAAAATTTTATATATCTTCCTAGAGATTTTTGTGAAAGTTTCCTGTTTTTCAATTTTTACTGATAAAATTAACAAAGTTTTATAATATATCTTTTATATTTCGTCCTTGACAGTTTCATAACTTTAAAAAATTAGTGAGTTTCATCTGTTGTCACTAATATTGTCGGGAAAATTCTCGGAAAGTTTTATAAACATAATATTACTTCAAGAAACTTTTCATAACTGGAAATTTTTGGCTGTCCCATATAATTTTCAGGTGCAAAGTTCGCAAAAGGTATAAAAGATCGACTAAACTTAGAAAGTTTTATTATTCTCCCTACAAATATCGGGAAAGTTACTGGAAAGTTTTGTGTATCGTTTATTTTTTCCCAGAAAGTTTTCAAAATCAAAATGTTAAATAAACAATGATAAATAGATTTATTGGAAAGTTCTCGAAAGGTTTAATAAATTTTAAACATTTCTTCAGAGAAACTTTTAAAACACGAACACTTATTAAGATTGGAAGAGTTCTGTCATTTTGCTGCTTCATATCTATAAAAAATATAATAATATTTAAACAAAAACAATTATTCGATTTTTTCGGGTTTCTGTGAACTTTAAAAAAAATGTTGAATGTGCGACCGAGTTCTTCGTTTTCGCCACTAAAGTTTTAAGTGTCAACCCTGTACATGTGGCCAAAAAGCAATGTCGGTTCAAATGCCTGCGTGAAGGTGCTTCGATTACGATGATACCTTTCCATTCTGGGACGTAGTTAATTACGATAAATATTCATGGAATGTAGGTACACGTTTCCGGAATATTTTTATTTGTGTAAAAAAATTCGTTTCATATTTCTTCAGAAACACAACTTGCGATTTCTTTATTCCTTTCTTATAGCGTCACCTTCTTTAACTAGCACTTGCCCGGGGCGCCCTCTCTCACTCGCCATGCTTTCCATTGTTTGCCTCATTGTTCATCCCCAAGTAATAATGAAAAATGACAGATAGCACTTGGTGAACAGCGAAAAGATCTTGCGAATTGGTTCAGAAAGTGATTTAAGAAATTTTAGATTTCACTTTTCCTAGTCGGGTGTTGGGAACAGTTTTCAATTCAACAGAAATGAAAGACAGTCGTGGTCAAAAATTGGCAGTGAAAAACTTTCCGCCTTGGAAAGTTTGTCGAATACAACTACCGAATATTGTTAGTCCCTGTATGTCTAAAAATTAATGGTCGCAACCGTTTACATTTTTTCACTAGTAAGAACACAAATGAAAATGACGACAGGTCACACCTACACCATTGTCCTTAAAAGGATTTTTTGCGGAGCTTTCCGTTTGGATGATTTTTCAGTGCTCCCAACTAATAATCGTCGTGACAAATGTAGGTGTATGTAGATATTCGCGTCTAAGCAAAAAAAAGGTGATTTTACATTTGTCCCAATCTCCCGGGCGTAGTTTGACCCCAATTTTTGACACATAAAGCAGAGTGGATGTCACTTGAATAAAAAAAAATAGATTACCTACCACTGCACATTGTTCCAGTAAATGGAAACTTTTCCAAGCACTGTTTTATTCGTTTCATACAGATTTCGATGTAAAGACAAAAAATATTGCCTGAGCAAAAAAGGAAAATTAAAATAATATGGTTCCAGGACGAATCTTTTGTATAAATTCATAAAACAGCGCAATAAAATGTATTAATATAAATTACATAAATGAAAGTTAATTGTTTTAGGAGGAGGACATTCCCTCATAACATTTAGCGACGAACCTGAGATTCATAAAAATACATGAGCGCAGAATATTTCAGGTATTTTTGGTAAATTTAACTACAAACTGGGTGATTCTCGTGTTTTTTTTTTAACCCCCTGTGATAGTCAAAATATAAATAAAAACATTTTATCTATCAACTTCGTTCAGTGCAGTTTTACATAAACGTCACAAGAACTTAAGGAATTCGATTATTTCACGTCCACTATAATAGAACAGAATTGATCAGTGATTGTGAAATAAAAGTGGACGTGAAGTAATCGAGGCTGTGAAGTTTTTGAGGATGTGAAATATGCAAAGTGAAACAAAACAAAAATTACAGAAGTCAAAATTATGCATCAGGCAATGTCATTGCAATACCAACTGCACAAAGGCCCTATTTTACGTACATACCACAAAAAATATTAGAGAATAAATATTACGTACTGGGACCTGACTGTACACATTGACAAAACAATCGCACATAATGGATCCGATTTATTTTAGAATAAAACAGAAAATATCCCTTACAAAATTGATATAGCAGTACCATCTTACCAAAATATAATAAAAAAATATACAGAAATGGCAATTAAAATAGAGATAATTTGGAACCAAAAACACGATTAGAGTAAAAAACAGTAACTCTTCATACATCTACTATAACATAATTTTTTTTAAATCAAAAATGAAAAACCCTGGGCATGCTAGGCGGACAGGGCAGGCATTAGGGTGCCGCTAGATACGTATCGAATAAATTGATCGATGCGAAACTTCAGATCAGAAACACATTACTAAAATGTGAACTAGTTGATGTTTCTCTACCGTTAGTAGAAATAGCATCTATTTGACCTCGGTAATTTTTGTTTTTGAAAATATATCTTGACGGCTAAAATTTTCGAAATTACCTACAAATAGTGTGATTATTATCGCCTGCAAAGTGTGTGGCACTCTGTAATTGTACATATGTGACAGGACGTTGTTCGAGATTGTTTTTACAACTTATTTATTTCATTTGTGAGTTCCACCAGAATGGCGTGGCATTGAAGACACAAGTACAGTGTGCTAAAAATTGGTTACAATGTAACAACATTCATATCGGGTCCACGTTCCGAACGGTCGTAAAACTGAAGAACTTATCCCAGTAATAAAAATAAAAGCTACTTCCAAAGAATAAAAACATTTGCATGGTATCAATACTAAGACCGTATTTAATAATAAATTTTATGATCCCCGCGCGGTCCGAATTTTTTTTTTTTAATTTTACGACCGACCCTCCCGTCTACTTAACTTAAGTGTTTCCTTTTTAATTGGTCTTTAAGCGAGGACGTTTTTTACATAAAACGCCGTTTTCGATATCGCCGGATTAAATCTCGCCACTTTATATAAACAATAAAACTTTTACTACATTTTAATATCTGAATGTGACGCGCCCGCTCCACGCTGCCTCCCGTGGGTGGAAATTTCTTAATTCCGACTTGATTACCGCAATTGGGGACAATTATCCGATACATTATTTTGTCCTAATTACTGAAATTTGTCCCACGGCATCAGGTGGGCTCTAACGCTACCAAGGAGTTTCCTCGGTGGCCGTCCGTCGGACATTATTACTTTATTTACTCTGCCAAACTAAATGTTGCATTCTTCCGAAAAACGTGTTAATAATTAAATTAAAAAACACGACACTTACGTATTGCTTCTGTAATCTCGACCACAGTTGATAGGAGCCCGTTAGATGCTCCAGGAAAGCGTGATCGCCAGGAGAACAGGCCTTAGCCGGTAGCGACGGGTCTCAGCTGGCGGGTCTCAACCAGGACAGGAGGAGCCCCCCGCGAAGTGAATTAATTTCAACACTTAATCATTTATGATTTATTTTTGCACTCAATATTTGGTTAATTAAAAACCAAGTCTGGGTAGAAAGTGACTCAATAATAGTTAAATTTAAATCATATTAGAGAAAAAATCAGCTCTAAATTGGTTTTATGTACTCGGAATAGAGTCAAAAGTCGCCCAATTGAGAAAAATTGATTGAAATTTTTTTACAGTGTAAAGAACACAAGACATACCAACAGGATCGGTTTACACGAAAACTGAAACATTTAGACGAACAGTTGATTAATAAAAGTTGCTCAGTTGCTAAAAACACGACACTCTTATTACTGATGTCGATATTATTTCATTCTATGCCTAATTATTTTCTAGTAAACAAATAGAGTAATAATTGAAAGAGACGTCACTTCTAATATTACTTACTTTATGACCCTATGTACCTATTTACCGGCATTCGAACTGATAGCAGTACAATAATAGCCCGATGTATAAATGATGTTGGATTTTCTAATATACGCAATACGAACGTTATTATTATGGACAGGGACAATAAATTTTCTATATTATCGCTGCCTGATAGTAAAAGTAGTGTAAATAATGCCTACTCACGTATTAGAATGTCAAAGTGTTAAGTGGTGGCCTATAGCGATGTGTCAGTTATACGAGCCTTATACAGGGTGATTCACATAAGGACTCTCGCTTGAAAATTGGAAGTAGAAAGTTGGTTTAACAGTTTATGATATTTCTGCAGTTACAAAACAGTTCTTACTTGTCATGGGGGATTCTGACATCCAAAACTTGTAAGCCACTGGAAGAAATATGAAAATATTCGTAATTTTTCAATTTCAAAACTCAGTTTCAGTGTCAACATTTCTTTTAACGTGTTTATTTCCTTTGCAGGTAAGTTTCTCCATGAATCCGAAAGCTTAAAAGGGGCAGAACGATGTAAGTATAAAATTTAAACAAAAATATATGCATGCATTTAACTCCCCTGTCAGACAAAGATTTAATGGATTTTTGGTGCTGCAAAATCACATACCCTGCACAGTAATATAAAGACTGTTTACAAACTTGAGGTAAACATAATGCGTTAATAAAAATTTTCAATAATTAAAATCGTTGAAACTTTAAAACATTGCTTAAAATTACTAATAATTAAAATTGCTAAAACTTATTAAGGACCTCTGGAAAAGGAATGGATCGTTGTGGCCGCAGATAGCGCGCCGTCCGCTTTTTTATCCCATCATTTGTAGTAAGCAGAAAAATTTACGTTTCTTTAGCTTTTATTGCAAACCGAACTACTTCGTATCGATGGAGTCAGCGGTTCCAAAAATGTTTCTTTGTATCATTGTGGTCCAAGTCCAAGTATGAAAGATTCTATTCTACTTCCAAATCTAGTATTTGCACCTCAATATATTTCTACTCTTAAAATATCTTTTCCAAGTCTGTAAACACCCTGTAGGTTTTCGATATAAAAGAGGTATTTCAACAACATAAATATTGCAGATACATTCGAGGCAAACCTTCTAAGAATGTCAAATCGCATGTGAGAGTAGAATAGACATTTTTATCGTGACTTTTACCCTCGCTTATGCCTCAAGCTTAGAATTTAAATAAACTTACGTGGTATCAGAGAATATGTAATATATTTCTTTTCCATAGACATTTTCAGTTGCCAGTGAATTTTCTGAAGAAAGTGCGTAAAAAGGGAGGAGTTGCATTTTCACTTAATTTTTAAACGTGTTTTTTACACAAACGTGCTGTAGTACCTCGTTATTTTCTTTAATTTGACCATTGTTGAAAAAAAAAGAAAGAAAGTGCTTCAGTAGGTACCCTTTAAAAAAATTTCACTCAAATTTCACTCATTTTTACACAGTAATGTCCACTCTATTAGTATGAGTGAAACTACTGCATCAGAAATGAGTGAGTTACTGCTAACTATTAATTGAGCGACTTTCGACTCTATTCTAAATTAATAATAATAATTTTAGTCACATATTCAAAATCTTTAGTATATATAGCGTTAAAGTATAATAAACTAAGAATTCGTAAACGATAATGTAAATATTACTTTGGAACCAAGAAGATTACAGGCGAGAATAGTATAAAACAACAGAAATTATCAACTAAAATTGTAAAACGCTGCTTACTTACGATTACATAAAAACCAAACGTGGAATGTTATCTACATAATTCTTAAAAACAAACTTCCAGACTGTCTGGTTGCGCCGTTTCTCGGAAATGATTTGTAAAATCCAAAACCATTTTTGTACAACGAAAAATATGCACGTTAGTCTCCGTCTGATGGAATATGTATCCGAATTGTAATAATATTTTATTCATTAAGTCGTTGCATCAGAAATGGACACAGATAGTGCATCTGTATGGAAGATACAGACAAATCAACAGATACGCAGCTAAATACAGTTTTTAAATGTGCAATGTCTGTATATGTACTACACTTGGTTGATATTCTTTGTCAAAAAAACTTTTTACTCAAATCTACTTATTGGGATTTCATCAAGGTTCACCACAGATATTACACATATAATATTATTTAAAGACTACGTAACATCTATTAAAGTTGCAAATGGAACACATAAAAAGCTGTACTTTTAAATACAGTCATCGGACGAATTTAGAAAACTATTAAAGATGATCACAATTTCTTATGGTTATCACTAATACAAGTGCCAACAAAAAAAAAATCGGTTTGGACGAAATTATTCATAACTAGGATGATGTCACGCACGATACTTAACACGTCTGTATATGTGCCAGAACTAAAACATACTAACATAATAAAGACACACAAATGTAACAAAAAAGCTCTTAAATAAAACCACCCAGTTGTGGAAAAATGTATTCCATTATGTTTAAATTTTGGGAACATAAAGAGATTTAAATCTAAGAATAAAATACATAAAATACAAGCATAAAATAGGATATATTTGTAAGTTTTCACACAATGTGGTGGGGTGGGATATAATAATAATAATACAGTAATTTTTATACGGCACTTTTTTTTCGTTGCGTTGAAATTATTGAATCACACAGTACATAACAGTCTTTCAGTTTATATGGAGAGAAGTCAGTTATTTTTCAGTCGGGTTTAATAGTCGGTTTTATTATTTCATAGAAAAAACGAACTTGCACATTTTGAACCAATATAACATTAGCGCATTCGCCAAAATTTTAAATTTGCAATAGAAGGCAAAATGTCATTAACGAACTTAATAATTTCGAAAATTAATATGGGTAAAATATCTGTACAGTATGTTATTCGTTTACTATCTTTGCAACTTTTTTTTGTCTGACAAACCTTGTATCTCTTAAGGTAACTGAGATCCCCATTAGAAAATGACCACCCGTATACAAAAAAATAAATTTCGGTGATGTATATAAGAGAAATATATAAAGTCATGCGTTGTCCTTTTTAAAAAAAAATGAGAAGGTAAATAATCTTAATTATTTACAGTTAACACACGCAAAAAAAATTCTTGCTTCAAATGTACAACATTTGATTTTAAGGTATCGCATGTTTATACGCAAGAAAGTATTTTCTTCTTTCAAGAAAATTATTTATTTAAATACTTTAAATTTCTACCCAGAAATATAATTTCTTACTTAAAAAATAGGCAGCATTTAAAATAAATATTGGATACTTACGGTTAAACGAATTATATTCTTAATTTTATGATAGATTTTATAGAAACATGTTTTGCATTGTAAATTAGTAATGTATCGTTTTCTTAATACAAAATTGAATAGTTTTGGTTAAATGTACATAATTCTGACTTTTACTCTATATGTATAGATAGAAATTTTGATTTTAAAATTTGTATTAGGACATTATTTGAGGTTATAAACAGATTTGTTTTATAAAAATGTTGTGTAAAATAATAAATAATGGTACTTCTCTCTGGAGTATTTTCGTGTTTTTTTAATTTATGAGCACCCTGTATATCTAATCTAAGATGTTTGGGTGACAGTCTCATTTTTTCGAGGGGCAGAACTTGTTATAAAGAGTGACATTTTTCGATAAACTCAAAAGCAAAAGAGTTTCTCCTCTTGTCAACTACATCCGTGGACACACTGTATATACATTATTAATAAACTTTATTGTAGGTACTTAAATCCTCGAGTTTTTACTAAATTATTTTATTAAAAATGTAAAAAAAATCAAAAAATCTTATTTTTTGCTTTCTTTAAATTAATGATTTTTTGCATAAAATTTTCCTTTTATATTTTCTAAATAAGCCATTTCGATGAGAAATTAAATTCTCTACAAAATTTTTCCTATGAACTATACCGAAATTTTGCTTCGTTTTCGAGCTATATTTAAAAAATTGCAGAAGTGCATTTTTACCCCTATCTTCAATTTCGACTCTTTAAATTTAATAACACCCCGCGGTTTTTTTCATTTTTAATGACCCTTCGAGCAAGTCATGTGATGAAAATCCTTGAATGTCATATTTTCTTATTTTTTGCAAAAAATGAGTTAAAACGTATCAGGGTAAACGAAAATCGAAAAATTGGCTAAGATTGAGCAGCCATATATCAGTCAATTTTCATCCAAAAATTCTTTACAACCTCTTGTTTAGAGGGAAATTATATCTACTTTTTTTTCTGTGAAGCAATGCCTATACATATCTTTACTCAAAAAAAAAACTAGAGGCAAAAAAGTAAAAAAAATTACATCAATTTAAACGTTATTTGCGATTATTTAGTGTAGCCGCAATAGTTTCTACTAATTTTATTATTTTTTTATGCATACCAATTGCGAATATTAAAAAACAGAAAACTTAATCCCACAAAGAAAAATGCTTTTACAAATTACACCAATTTTCCATTTCTTACACATCGGAAAGTCAAGGAAATTGCCTGGCAAATTGATGAACCGGATTTCTCCCTTCTTACTAATAGAAAAGAGACTTGTTTTGTCCATTTTAATTTAGAAAGTCACTGAACCATTCAGAAAATTCCTTACGGTAAAATCCCATTTATTCACAACCCGTGACAAAATAGAAACAGACAGCAAACGAAAATCTGCCGAACAAGAAAAAGTATTAGGAACCAAATTACAAAGGAGTCGTCAGAGACAGTTGTCACTGGCTCTGTATACAGGGTGTTTGGAAAATAGTACAACAAACCTTTGCAGTTGGTAACACTCATAAAATTGTATCGAAATTTAGAAACAGACGTGAAATAAATGTCAGCAAACCTGTTGCTTTTATATTAAACATAATTACAAGGTGTACACTTCACTGCAGTTGTGTCACGCTGTTTTATATCACCCTGTGTAACGAGTCCAAGCGACTGATTGCCAGAGTTTTCCGGCAGAAAAAACTACTTCCCTGTAACCGGTAGGAATAATATTTACTACGGAAAAACCAAAACAACCCTATAATGTAATAGAGTACACTTATCGTACTGAGTCACATTCTAAAATTAGCCGTATTATTTATGAGAGTGCTCTTAAAACAATAAACATTACGGGGGTATAAAAATAGCGGCGAGCACGCGAGTTGCTTCCGTGGAGACGGGTTAGAAAAAAAAAACATAACTATAACGAAAATATTACGCATTTTCCCTGATAGATAGATAGAATTCTTCATATTGTATTGATTTCTGCGAAAGAACGTGGGCCTCTCAAGGTTAGCCGTTCGTTGATTTTTATACCAGTTTCAAGAGAAATAAACAACTATCCTTGCCAAAATGAACATTAGACGCAGTGGCGTTGAGCGGGGGAGGGGCCAGTTTCGCGGTAAGTTTTAATGTATCAAAATTTATTGAGTAAAGAAGTGTTTTTAAGTTGTATTATTTTTGTTATTTCAGTAACTTGTCACCTATATGCAAAATACTTTTATGTTTTTAGAACGCGAAAATCTTTTTCGTTCCAGAACATAAAACAAATGTCAAAATAATTTGTAATTTTTTCGAAA